CCCCCCCCCCGCCAACCAAGATCTATTAATCTAAATAACAGAGAACACGCAAGATTTGGGGGGAGGAATGTGCCATAAACAAACTAAAGGATGGACCTTACTGTTTATAAAACAGACAAAGGTTCCTTGAGCCAAAACGCCAAGGGACTTCAGTTGTGCTTGAGATCTAGGAGTCAGTCCCCTGCATCCATGAACGTCTAAACGGAATACTAGCAAGAAATTCATCCTAACCTTTCCCTCGGACTTCTGGTAGCCCCAGAATGGGATTTCATCCACAGTATGGTGGACACTGGCCCAAGAATCAAGGAGAACTCAGAGTTACATCTCTAACCAAATATCTTTAATGTCTCTAACTAAATCCTCTCTGCACTAAGAGATTACATATGCTCACTCCAAGAAATAAATAACAGGCATCAGCACCACTGCTTTACACTTCCATGGCTACTGTGACTTGGAACAAATTATTTAACCTCTCTGCGCCTTGATTTCTGCTTCCGTAAACGGGGATAACCCCAGAAGGCCATTGTGAGCATTAAATGAAACAAGGCTTATAAAGTGCCAGAGTCAAGTCTCATTAAATGCTACCTCTTGGAAATAGACACTTTTCTCAAATATTAGTTCCCTCCCTGAATCTACAAACACCCTGTGAGGGGAGTTTCTCTTCCCATTTCACGGAGGGGCAAACTGAGGCTCCGCCGAGAAGGGGGCTGAGTGAAGGTTGGAATACCGCCCCAGTTCAAGGGCCTGTTGTTCCTTTCCGGGCCCTAAGTGTGCAATGAGCCCAGGACCGACAGAGTGGGGGGCAGAGGGGCTCAGGCCCATGGGACGTGAGGCAGGACCAGTTCTGCGCGCCTCCCGGACTCAGCCCGGGCGGGACATACGGAAGAAGCCCGGTCCCGGGCCGGAGCCAGAGCCAGAGCCAAGGGCGGGCCCGCCCGAGGCCTCTCCCGCGCGGCCTCCGCTCCCCTCCCTCCTCCCCTCGCCGGGCGGGGCGGAGCGCGAGCACAAAAGACTCCAACTTCCGAGCGGGCGCGGGCCCACCCCGCCAACTCCTGGCCCAGGCCCGGCCTGCGGGGGGTAAGCGGGCAGTGATCGCCAGGACGGCCCAGAGCGGGCGCGGATCGGCGGGGGCCGGCGACCTAGGGCGGCGAGCCCGGGTAGGAGGAAGGTGCGAGGGGAGGGGGCCTAGAGTTAACTCTGGCTCCCAGGACTCCCCGAATGGCCAAAAACAAGAGTTGCTAAAGATAGGCAGCGGCCAGCCAGAAGAGGTGGGCGACAGAAAAAGCACAAGGAACACCCCCCCCCGCACCCTTAAGGAAACGTCCGCGGCCCCCACTCACCGGCACCAAGCGGTCTGGAGGAAGCCGCGCGTACGGAAGGAGGCGGTGCCGCCGCACTCGGGGGCGGAAAGGAGGGAGGAAGGAAGGCAGGCGGCGGCGGCCTCGGCCGCGGCGTGAGGAGGCTGAGCACACACGCGGGAGTCGCTGCTGCTACCACCCCCTCGGCTTCTCTAGGTTTGGCTACCCTGCGCCCGCACAGCTCGCGCGCCCCGCCGCACTGACAGCGGCACGAGGACCGCAGCAGCGAGTCCTTCCCTCGGCAGGCACCACTGAGGCGCGCGGGGGTGGGGGCACCCGGATCGGCTTCCCTCAGCTCGGCCCCGCCCGCCGCTTCGGCCCCAGCGCAGGGCTTTCCCTCCCCGCCGCCTCTGTCTCCTGGGAAGGACACGGTGACACGAACACGAGGAGTTCGGAGCCCCGCCCTGACAAAGCCCGACTCCCCGGACGCAAGGGCTCTCCCCACCCACTCAGTCTGGCTTTGGAAAGGTCCAGAGCTTCGGCGGGGAGAGAAGAAAGGCGGGGCGGGGGGTGGAGCCTGACCGGGAGGAGGGACTGAGGTGGGGCCAGGGAGGCGGGGCTAAGGGCGGGAAGATAGGCACTTGCACCAGTTTGGAGCCGAAGGCGGGGCGGGGGGTGGAGCCTGACCGGGAGGAGGGACTGAGGTGGGGCCAGGGAGGCGGGGCTAAGGGCGGGAAGATAGTCACTTGCACCAGTTTGGAGCCGAAGGCGGGGCGGGAGTGAGAGGGAGGTGATGCCCTGGGAAGACGGGCGCAAGAACTGTAGGGAAGATTGTGGAGGCCTCGGAGAGCCGGGAGCCAGGGCAGCGCTTGAAAGAGGGAGGGGCTGTGGGCAGTGCAAAGGGGAGACCGTGCCCAGAGGGAGAGTCACAAGTGGAGGGGTCCGGGCGAGGCCCAAGAGAAGCCGAGAAGCGGGTAAGAAAGAGGTGGGCCCGGAAGCCGAGCACGGAAGAGGGGGCCCAGGGGGAGCCACTCTGAGGAGAAGCCGGAAGGAGGCATGCGCTAAAGGAGGGCCAAGTGGGTGGTGCTTGGGGTGGGCGGGGCCTGGAGATGAGGCCCAAACCGGCGGGCTGGGGGCGGTGCCCGAGGGATCTGGGAGAGAAAAGGAGGGAATAAGCACCAGGTCCTTTCACTTTCAAGGAACCTGGCTCCTGAACTCGGTGAAGATCACTCGCTGCCTACGCGGGGACTAGGTGGAGAGGCCGCGGTTAGGGTGGGGCTGGGGAGGAGTTGTAACCCTCACCCAAAGAAGAAGGATTAAATTCAGCTGCCTTTACCTGGGATGCAGAAGATGTTTAATAACTTGATCCGGTGGCGGTCTTCTTTCCTAAACATTTTTCCTGCCGGGATCTCTCACTTGAATGAGATTTCCAGCCTCCAGTGTCTCCCACCCCCAACCTCCGGCCCCCACGAAACAGCCAGAGGGGTCTTCTGAAAGCACAAGGGGACCGTTGTCCTTCGGTCCTCAGCTATGGACTTCCCTGAAGGCTGGGAACTGGCCAGATTCTCCATGTCTCATCTGACCTGTGATTTCATAATTGTATTTTTCACATCGCTTCCCCCAGATCCTGCCTAAGAAATGAGATTCCTGAGAATGGCGCATAGTTTGAATTGAGATTCTTGGCTCTGCCAGACCAGGAATTATAAGTGCCCTTCTGTTGTTTGATGACCTCCATGCCCCACTTCAAACGGAATTGAAATCAAATCAGAGAAATGGTGACACTGAGAGCAGAGCCTGGAACGTTCTTTCCCCAATTCTGCTTAAATGTCTCTTTGGAGAGGTCTTCCCTGAACCCCGTCTAAAGATGTTCTCTAGTTTGGCCTCGTCATTTTTTTGTCTGTCTCCCCCACTAGAATGCAAGTTGAGTACATCACTATGTTCCCAGACCTAGTGCAACATTTGGTGCACACCTAGTGTTCAGTAAACACTTGAGTGAATCAATGAATCAATCAATCGATTAATGAATCTAGCCGGTCAACCTGGTCTGCTCTGTTTCTGACCATTGCCTGGCTCCACACCTCCCTCCCGGAACACTAGCCTTACCATATTTGCTTGAATACATCACATTCTCTCAACACCCTCTGCTGTAGCATTTTCACTACTTGGATTGCTCCTCCCTCTCTGCCCAAATGCCTCCATTTCATCCTTCAACACTCAGTTCAGGAACTATCTGCTCTTAGAAATCTTCTCTGACCTCCTTTCAGCCCCCCATCAGGCACCTTGAGACTCTCACTCCTCTCTGTTCATGTCCTCGGTTATAAAATTTGCCTGTGCAGATGATGTTCTGTTCCCTGCTGGTACTGAGGATTAGTTCATGTGTGACCTGCCCTCTGCCAACCTTCTAACCTCATCCGTCATTGCTCTTACCCCTCTCACTCTGCTGCAATCACATTTTGGCTTCTTTCCTGTTCTTCTACCATGCCAAGGACACTGTTGCCTCAGGGCCTCTGCACTTGCTGTTGTGTCTGCCTCAAATGCTCTTCTCCCAAATATTGGTATGGCTCACTCCTCACCTTCATTTCTTTGCTGAAATGTCACTTCCTCAAAGGCCTTTTCTGGACCACATTTAAAACAGGAACAGCCCATTCCTCTGCACTTCCTCATTCCCTTTCTTACTGGTTTTTTCTCCATAGCACTTACCACCTGAAGTACTATATGTTTGCTTATTATCTCTCTCCCATCCCCACCTTCCACTACAGTGTGATCTCCAAAAGGACAGGATACTGTCTGTTTTGCTCATTCCTCAGTGCTTAGAACAATAGGCCCTAATTTAATATTTGTTGAACGAATGACTACAAATTGAACAGAGAAATGTCAGGAAGACTCTCAGTGGTGTCTAGAAGAATCCCTGAAGATTACAGTATGGAGACGTTTCTAGGGAAATATGCTGGCAACACTAGCTAACATTTATGGAGCATTAACTAGTTGCCAAGCAATCTGCTTAGTGCTTTTGAAGCTTATTTAATGCTTACAACAGCGCTATGAAGTAAGTACTATTATTATCCCTGTGTGGACACAAAAAGGTTAACTTTCCCAAGGTCAAACAGCTAGTAAATGATGGAGTCCAACTTTAGAGCCTGCATGCTGAATCACTGTGCAGTTGACCCTTTTTAAAAAAAAAAAAAAGATGACCGGTAAGGGGATCTCAACCCTTGACTTGGTGTTGTCAGCACCACGCTCACCCAGTGAGCTAACCGGCCATCCCTATATAGGATCCGAACCTGTGGCCTTGTTATCAGCACTGCACTCTCCCAAGTGAGCCAAGGGCCGGCCATGCAGTTGACCCTTGAACAACACGAGTTTGAACTGCACGGGTCCACTTCTATGTGGATTTTCTTCAGTATACATGCAGTACTGTAAATGTCGTTTCCTTATGATTTCCTTAATAACATTTTCTTTTCTCTGGCCATCTTTATTGTAAGAATACAGTATATAATACATATAACATACAAAATTTGTGTCAACTGTTTATGCTATCAGTAAGGCTTCTGGTCAACAATAGGTTATTAGTAGTAAAGTTTTTGGGGAGTCAAAAGTTAAACATAGATTTTTGACTGCACAGGAGTTCAAAGCCCTTAACCCCAATGTTGTTCAAGGGTCAACTGGCACTCTCCTACCTCCTACTAAGGACCTAGGGTTATTGGTTCAATAAAGGTGAAGAATGAGGAGACGACATTCTTTTGCCTCCTGCATAGAGTGGTATAGGGTATTGTAGTGGATTGAATTGTCCCCCCAAAACTCCCTGAAGCTTAAGTTGTGTCCCTCAAGTTTTACATATTAGGATCTTAGCCCCCATTGTGACTGTTAAGAGGGTGGGAAATCCTATTATGGTAATTGTAAGGTGGGGCCTTATCCAAGAGGTGATTGGGTTGTAGGACCGTGCAGTAGTGAATGGATTATGGTGGTCAGGGATGTGGTTCTGAGGGCTTTAAAAGAAGAGGAGAGTCTGTCTTTCTCTCTCTGCTTCCACCATCTTGCAATGTGAGACCCTCTGGTTCACTGTTGCCACCACCAGATAGACTTTGGACTTCCCAGCCTCAGAAACTGTAAGCAAGTTTCATTTTCTTTATAAATCACCCAGTTCAGTGTACTTTGTTATAAGCAACATAAATGGACTAATACAGGTATGATGTGTAAAGTTGAGGAAGACTTTTTTAGCCACTAATAGGGAGGCCAGCCAGAAAACAAAACCATTCCATGGAGGGTAGGACCAAGAAAATATTACAGGAAAATTGACACAACCTGATGAAGCCCTTCCTGAAGCTTGTCCCACCTCTGGACTTTAATATGAACCAATGCATCTTTATAGTTTAAGTAGTTTGAGTTGTGATTTTTATAACTTGCAGCCATAATTTACTAACAGATGAGTAAGGTTCAACAGGTGGAGATAATGCCTTACATTTTTATGAGATGTTTGTCTACAAATTGCTGTGGGATATTCCAGACAGAAGGAACAGGAAACATAACAAGAATGTAAGAGCTAGGGGTTTTTGGAGTTCAAGGTATGAGTTGAATTGAAAAAAATAAGCTGTAAAGCATAGGTTAAAATTAGGAACTAGCTTCTACTCTCAATTCGGTAGATGGGGGGAATCATTGAAAGGTTTTGAACAGAAGGTGCTTTAAAATGATAAAGTGTCGAGGTTGGAAGAAACTTTAAAAGTAATCTGGTTCAACTGCATTGTTAATCTTCCTAACAATCCTGTAAAGTAGGTTGTTTTTGTTCCCATTTCACAGATGAGAAAATGTGACATGGCCAATGTCTCCCAGATGGTAGATAAAGGAACCAGGATTTGAACCCTGGGCTATCTGAGCCCCAACACATGCATTCAACCACTTACTCTCCCCACCATTGGAATTAATTCTGCCCTCTGAGCTCACCTTGAATGGGTGAATCCCTCTAAAGATTTATCAGTGATGTTTGTAGAGCTGCCTATGCTAGGATTAGGAAGATGACCACACCATAACTGACTGAGCTAACCAGCCAGCCTGGACTAGGAAAATGGATTTGAGGGAGAGGAGAATAAAGGGACCCAACAGGTGTCCTTGTTGGAGGCAAGTGAATAAAGAGGAAGGGGCAGGCGGGGTAGAGGGATATAAGAAGGAAGATATGGGTTTGTCATTAGAATAGGGGCTGCAAAATCAGATCCTTATAGAGCGAGGCAGGTACCATAAATGAGCAAGGTGGGTCAGGTGTAAAATAACAGGGAGTAGTGGGGACTGTGGCAAGCTGGGAATTCACACCCTTCTAAAGGAGCAGCTGGTACTCATGTGGAAACACAGGCCCCCACTTGTTGCCAGTTGCCAAATCTAAAAAGGGAAAGAAAAAAAGCTCTGAACCCAAATTTTGTATATGAAGTTGTCTGATTTTTAAATGCTGGCAACTGATTCAAATTTATTATTATTATTTTTTTTTTAAAAGATGACCGGTAAGGGGATCTTA